ATTTATAAAATGGTCCACAAAGAGCAAACGAGCCTTCTCACCACCATTCAACCTCAAGGCCCATAAAAAATGTTGCATGAGAAACTCTCTCAGATGGATTCAATGTTCTGCAAAACTTGTAACAGTGCACAGGGATTAAAGCTTTCTACGACCAGCGTCAGTAAACCTAATTTAAAATCGACCACGTTGCTTATAAATAGGTGAACATCACTGGCATATAATGGCTATTCTATCTTTTAGAACATTTATATTTTATGCTATGTGCATACGCAGCCTCTGTCACAGAGTTTGACGTGTCCTTTAAAGAGACTTTCCAAGAAAATGACTGCCATGATTTTAAACTTGTGTGGAAAGATACCAGAAAACAATTCTTTTGAGATGGGCTGGCATTCTTTTCCAAGGAGATTAGCACCGTTAAACTGTCGTTCTGTTAAGAAAAGGTATGTGTTATGTGTTGCCTATAAACTTGTCGGATTAGTCAGAAGAGACTAATCCTTGATGAACAGAGAATATGTCCAGATCCTTGATGAACAGAGGATAAATGATGCTTTCTTTCAGACCTGTTCCACAACATATTCTCTACTTGAACTCATGTGTAAAGACCTACAACAAAAACCTACCACATCATACTTCCTCAGCCTCACTCACACTGTCTGTCCCCTGCTTAGGGGTGTTATGTGTATGCAGGGAGAACTAATTCAGCATCACCTTCAACAAATGTGTCTTTTACATACCATCTCATTACAGTGTAGTGTTTAGTCAAATGTAGGCGCCACTGTAAAGGGGCTTAGACTTTTCTAACTTAAAAAGAATATTTTCTTTATATCAACTTGGTGGAAAATTTAAATGTCTCAGTTAACAGCTTGACTGCTCAAGATTCCTTACATGGCTTTATCATAATAATATTTTCCGAGCTCATTTTCAAGCATAAATGAGTATCAAATGACAAAGCTAGTGAGAAAAATGTCATTTCAAACCCAATTATACTAACACTAGGAGAAGTTAAAGCAGTATTGGTCTTAAAAGCACACATTTACCAAGTATTGGTGGGAAAAGATGAACACTCCACACGCTTGCCTTTATTATTTCCACAATTTCCTTATTTTAAGGGTATAAGATAGTTTCAGTGTTCACACAAAGCCTAATATCCAAGACTTTTTACAGTATGCTACTGATTCTTACCAACATAACCTATGCATATATGCATTTCACTTTTCAGTGTTAGAGTAAATAATACAATGTCCCATAACAACCCTAAACATTTTCAAAAACTTTCTCATACTTTTGCATTTGTATTATCAAGGAACTTTCAAAAGAAGATTATTTTCACTAGTGGAACCCCGACATGGTCTGGGTCCCCCTAAAAGGCCATAAAATACAACTGAATGACTGTAGTATCTAACCCCATAAACTGTGTGTGAACAACAGAATTTTACACAAGCCCACAGCGTTGCTGGGTCCCAGTGTTATTTTTTTAACCCTCTAGGACATTATGCAGCCTCAAAAAAATCTCAAATTAATAATTTTGCATGGAGTATTTATTGCAGATATACACAGGTATCTTCCTTGAGGTATATAAAAGAAATATACTTCCTAAGTGTCCTGATTCTTACTGCAGGTTATATGTGACCTTTTTTTCCGAATTTCCACTGAATTAACTGGCCATCTAGGTATAGCACATTTCATTTGAAAAACTTTTTGATTAAGCAACAGGAGATCTGCTAATACAATCTATATGAGGCACATTCTGAAGGCTTCATTTTCATCCCAGATAAACAGGTACCGCTGGCAATACAGAGCATCCTAGGAAATATGACTCTGCACATGTTAGGTCTGAGAGTGCAGAAACAAACTGTCAAAACAGAAAATAATGTGTGCTCATGGAATGCAGACATGATTACAACTTCCTCCTTTTACAGTGATGCATAACCACATTCTGACAATGATGTGTCATCTCATGTTGCAAGAGAATGAAGGGCAGGGGAGGGAAGGAGCTAGTTAGAGAGGTAAGGAAGAAAGAAACTAAAAGGGAAGAAAAGAAGGAAAGGAGGGAGAGGAGGAGAAAAGAAAGGAGGAGGTATGTTACAATTAACTCCTTCTTGACAGTTTATCTGAAAATGTATTTCATCCACTCTTTGAAAGGGAAAACTATCTTTTATAGCTATAATGCTTTGATTTGCAAATAATGACTTTGTCATTCCATGCTACAATTAAATTCAAATCAACAACATGACTGTTTCTTGCAGACTAAAAAGCTGAATTTTTAAAAAAGGTACAGATATTTATCTTCTGTTTTCAGATTTTTCTATAGATCAAGTTAAAAGTCCATCAACATAAGATAAAATAAAAAGAAAAACTTACAACTATGAAATATTCACAAAATGTAATTTATAATTGTTTTATCATTTTAAAATGAAAACAACTTAAAACCATAAATTACACACGAATAAAATTAATGTTTTTATTTTATTTTGTTCTTCATACAAGGAATAAAAATTAAATCACTATTCAGTATATAAATGGGATTTACAACATAAACCTAATTGTACACCTTTTTCATAATTTGGAGTTCCAATTTTAAATTTCACAACTAAATTGTTAAAAACCATATAAATTTACACAATACATAGTAAAAAGTTAATTTATTGATTTCTTCTTGTCTCTCACATTGTCTCTTGCAGCTTTTTGAAAAAGCAAGCAATTTTTTGGTGTTAATGACACTAACTAAAATAAAGATATATACCATAGGCCATAGCAGTTTGATTATGGAACTCTCTGGGTAGTTTGTTTTTTTGTTTTTTGTTTTTTTAATTTTTTAAATCAATACACTGAACAAAATTTAAAATAGTTTGTTTCACAATAAATTGAATGCATTCCTTAGCAAACCTGCCTTACCATTTAATGTATTTAAAAAAAAAATAAATATTTGAAAAGTGTATCCACAATGTTCCTAAGAAATGGTTTTGAATTCCAGAGTCCCAAGGAGATGAATTGGCTGTCAGATAACAATGTGCTTCCATCAGATGGACTTGGCAGTTGTAAACAAAAGGAATTTTCTCAGCTTTTCCTCACAAATATGAAATATTTGCTCTTGGCCAACAGCTGGGGTGATTTAAAGAAGTCCTGCATATATATTAGTTTTCATTCAAAATTACAAATCCTCCTCCCACTCTGAAACATCTGACTTAGTCTTAGTAGAATAGAAAATTGTTCTGAGATGAAGTGACATTCCCAGAGGAAGTAAAAGTCAAAAAATAGTACCTACTTACAACTCTAATCAAATTTCAGAGCATGTAGCATCTGGTTAATAAGTTTTAGGAAAAGTTAATTTAATCAAGATGAAAGTTCAGACAACACTCCGAAGTGACTTGAAAAAGAATGAGAAAGTTTGTTTAGTTCTAGTGTTCCTGAAAATATTTAAAACAACAATATAACCAAAATAGAGACCGCAAAAAAAGCGATCAAAATTCCTTCAATGGTTTGGAAGTTAGCAACCAAACTCAAGATACTTTCCTGTGAAGACTAAAAGTTATTCTTGAAAACATAAAGTTTAAATGACAATTTAAATTATCTATTCATTTTAGCAAACATTTGAATGATATTGATGTTTTCTTAAAGATTAAACTATCTTTGCAAGTTACTTACTAGGAATTAGCTAATCATACAGTCTATGAAGGAGATCAAACAATAAATACTTTCAGAGTATTTTTTATATATTTAGAGACAGGCTATGAACTTATAAGCTTTGTTATGAATGCAACCAAATGTTTACCGATTTTTATTTCCCTCTAAAATTAGTTGAAAGTAGTGATTTAAAATTTATTTTGAATTCCACAATTACAGTCCTTGTACTGTAATATTTATCATAGAGAAAGGCTAATAGTAAAATAAAGTAGACATTTCTGTGTTTTACTTGAGGTGATAAAAATATAGTCTTAATATTTATAAATATCTTGGAAGGGGACAAACCATTTTTCTTCTTATGGACAATTACAGGGAATTAACTTCTGCCCTTTTGCCCAGTGAACCTGAATATGTGTTAAGCCTAAAATGAACGTTAGATTTTATTATTTTTTGAAAAAAATATCTTTACTTAAAGTGATTAAGGCAGGCATGAAAACTTATTAAAATAATTGTTGCTGCTTTTATTAGAGCTTTTCTTTGCCTTGAAAATGCAAACATATCAAACCTGAATAATCAAGACATGTAAGACATACAATTCATACTTCAAATTAAAAAGTCTGTAATTTATCTTAATTATTTCAGACAGAGGTTTTGTCTTTTGCAGATATATACTGCAAACATTTTTAAAGTCCTCAAGTAATATGTAAAAAAAGTATCTTAAAATCTGAAGTCTACATTTAATTTTATTGGGAAGGAAACCAACTTTGAATGACCACAATATGATAACACAGTTCTTACTTTCATAATCTTTAGATTATTTTTCCAGAATAAATATTTTTAAAGCTAGTATAGAATAAAATACAACTGTGGAAAGTATTAACAATAACAACGTTCACCATGCTAAATATCAAAAAGCAAATCTTTATCAGTAAAACATAAAATATTTCATCAAATGTCACTGATGATACACAAAGCACCACCATGAAAATGAAAATAACGATTAGCACAACTTCTCTCTTCCCTAATGCACCAGTAATGCAAATAAAAGTACCACATTTCTTCCTACATGAGCAAATAAAACAAATCAAATGAAGAATAAGAAATGCTTGTACATCTTGAAGTACCAAAGCAATGATTATCAAGGAAATACATGTCTCAGAAAACTAACTCTGTGTTTTTGAGCTTAATTACAAGTTAGAATTATTTATTCAGGAACTGTATTTGTCATAAGTTAGTCTGAAAACCACTGATTCACCCTCCTTTTTCTGCAAATTTTCAAAACCTAAGACATGAAATTGAAGACATGATGCTTGAAATTTAAGTGTTTTTTAAAAACACAGTTATGTTGTCATAACTTTGGAATTGAAAATACTTACAGTCTCTCTAGTTCTTTAAGATCCTGGAATGCTCCTCTTTCAATGGTGCTAATCTTATTCTCCATAAGCTGACTGAAATGCAAAATATAACATGCTTCTTAATGTTACCACTCACCATCTGAATAAATTTCAATTCAGCAACTGAAGATTTGTAAACTCTTTCCCTTTATAAAGTTAAATTTTGCTCTGAGTTGAGATCCAATATCAAATTTAATAATAACATATCTGAGTGTACTCATGGAAGGGAAATAGCAGGGTCCGCACCACAAAACTTAATACGAATGCAGTTTCTCATGAGATTTACTGGTCAAAAGTCTGACCCTTAAACTAATAGTGTATCTGAAGAGTAATCCTTCACACTGAAGCTTTGATAGCTTTTTTTGGTACACTGTTTTTCAACTTAACCAATCAAAATACAGTAATTCATCATACACATACTTCAATTCTGACATGGATACACATCAGCAACTGGAATAATTTGTAATGACCAAAATGTGTCTCTTAAAACTTAGAACACTGAATGCACAATGGTCAAAACTGTATGGCTACTGGGATGTCAATATTTACAGTCCTGTGGGTGAGAACAATTTAACATTACATTGACTCTCAAGTGGTGGTTTACTCACAGCTAATTTAACCCACTAATTAAAGAAGTAATCATATTGCAACAATTTTATAGAAGCTACAGAAACACAAAATATAAAAAACTCAAAATATGACCAATGGATCATTATACACTCTGCTGAAAAGTTTGAATGGTTGATTTTAATGCTTGAAATTAGACTTTTGCAAAAAAAGAGAACCCTTTGGTTATTAACAATAAAATACAGATCCACTTAAATATTTTAGTTAATTTCAAATCCTAAAAGTATCAAATGTTTCCTTTTACTTATTCATTTTGTGAAAACAATTATTCAACATTTTTATATGCATAAAGCGCTTAGGGTATGGTATAACAAAGATCTGAGGTCATTTCTGGATTATTGGTTCTGTGGCATGCTTCCAACCTTAAAAAAAAAAAGCCCCAACTTTTATTAAAGGTTGTAGTACAATGATAAACACACAAAAAAGGAAACCATGAACTTTTAAATTTTTTATGTTACTGTCATCAGAATAGTTATAAAAACTGAGACCAGCAATGACTCAAAATATGCAACCTTAAAAAAAATTAATAAAAAATACAGAGGATGCACTTACAGAACTCTTAGGTGTCTAAGACCAGCAAAATCTGTCTTCGTAATTCTTGTGATGTTATTTCCATTTAAATCCCTAAGAGAAAAACCAGAAAGTGAAAGTTCCATTTTATTTCTATGTGAACCTGCTTCAAGTAAAGTTTAGAGTAAATCAGAACTAAAAGTTAATTCAATTACTAAAGTAGTGTACAAAGTATGTAGGAAGGAGAAGAGGACAACCTTTAAAAGGATATTTTTAAAATGACTCAACACATTTGCAAAGTTCATTCTTGCTGGCATATGACAAGAAAATGAAGTAGTTACATTATCACAAAAAAGTTTGTTGTGTGTGTTTGTTGTGTTTTGTGTATGGGAGAGTGCTTTCCATTTTTGTTTCTATAAGGATTGTATATTAATTTCACAGGTATTCTACTATTTTACTATAATTGTTAGGCACCCCCCCCCCCAAAAAGAAGTTCCCTTCGGGAGGTTAAATACTCAATTTTCTCATGCTATTCAGGAAGAAATTGTATAAAAATTCAGGACACTATCCTTAGGTAGCATGGTGGCGAAACTTCCCAAGGCACAGAAAAAAAATTAGTGCCATCAAAATAACTGCACTTACAAGACTTGCATTTCTAGGCATTTACCTTCCAACAAGTCTATTTGTATAAAAACTTAACTCTTCATTTGCAGCTCAGGGAACCCCACTGTGATTGTAAAGTGAAAACTACTAGCAGGGGCAAGAATGGAAATAGTATTCAGGCCCTGACATTTTTGTTCAGATTTCTGCAGCACTTTTCCTTCAGGAGTCACGATCTCCTTTTCTGGCATTTCAGGTCAAGATCTAAACTTGCCCTGGTTCCAATCATTTCAAGTAAAACCAGGCTTTGCTGCGGTTTGAATGCTCTTCATAGAAGCAAGCTCTCTATCACCTTTGACTCTACAACATCACTTTTGAAACCTGTATTCAAACTGTTTCCATGATACAATTTTACAAGTCAGCACCCAGTAAACTATTTTCTGGAAACTTTTTGTTGATCTCTCATAAGGATGTATATTTTTTCAAGGACTTGAAACTCAATTGCTACGCTCCCCTTTCACCCCCACCCACCCAAGTGCATTCCCTTTTTGTTGAGTAATACATGTTCGTGCTTAAACTTTAAACTGTCCTGAATGGCATGAAATGACAAATGCTAAAACAGAATTCTGCGTGGCTTCTCTTCCTTTCTACCCAACCCACTTCTCCATGCTAAGCAGAGTACCATGCAGTTGTTTCTAAAATTGTTGGGCTATTGGATATAACATGAATCTCCACCCCCACCCCCAACCCTACACAAATGTGGATCGAATCCCGACAAGGCACCCCCAGTAGAGTCCCGATTTGGCCAGCTCGGAGAGGTGAGGAAGGAGTAGGGGTAACCTAGTGAGGCTGGGGGTAGACAGCCGTTTGCAAAGGAAAAGGGGGCTCAACTTGGGCCTTAAAACTGAGGGCGAGAGAAATGGGTTGGATAAGAAGGGCGAGTTGAAGTGCAATGGGCTGCGAGGGTGGAGACGTGCGGGTCGGAGCGCCTCCTCTCCACGGCCCGAAACCCTTACACCCCGGGGGCAAAAAGGTCGCGGGAGGAGTCCAGACGCGCTGGCCCCCGCCGGCCTAGCCCCGCGCCCTTGGCTTCCTCCTGGCACACACGCAACCGCGAGAGCGGAACGTGCCTAGGGCGGCCGGACTGGCGCGGGGCGGCGGCCTCGGCGTTCACAAAGAGAACGGCCTCCATGCTCCACTTCGCTGAACTCTGGAAGCGCCCCACCAGGAGCGCGTGGGCCGTCAACACCGGGTCTGCATTTACTTCTTCATTAGAGACTCGCAGAGACAGGGAGGCGGGGACGTCTGCGGGCAACAGAGCGCGAAGAGGGGAAGGCAGGGGAGCTGCTGCCACGTGAAGGGGCGCAGAAACTGCCAGAAAGGTGGATGGGGACGCAGGGGTTCAGCAGGAAGGGCCGGAGCGGGCAGCCGGGCGCCGCAGGGTCGCCGCAGCGGTAAGACCCGGTTGGGCTGGTTGGCGCTGGAGAACCAGCACTAACTTCGCTTAACGGATGGGACACGGTCCTCCCTGGCAGTCGCCCGCTGAGACAAGTCCCTTGGGGCCTGACGCCGTCTTCCCCTCCCTGGAGAAGTGGGGGGCGGGGGGCTGCGCGCGGCTACTATGCGAGCTGTCGCCGTCCTGGGGCACCCTTCTCCCCGCGCGCGACCTGTGAGAAGCACTCCCAGGCACTCCATGACCCCTTCTTCCTGCCCTTCCCCCCCAGGAGGGTGACACAAAATCGGGGAGGGCAAGTTTCTCTCTTTTGAGTCTCCCTGCTATCCCCTCCGCGCCAGCCTGCGACAAGAGCGGGGACTGGGCTCTGAAACCGACCTGGAGTGCTGGCAATCGCAAGGTGACTCCGTTTATGGAGTCTGGAGAACAAAGTGGCGTCTCACTCGCCCAGGGCATCCTCCAGAACTTGTTCCCTACCTACCCGCTCCCCAGCCCCAGAAAACCAGCCTTCAAGGAGCTGCGAGTGGCGGGACGAGAGCAGGGGAGGGAGAACTAGCGCAGCTGCCAGGGGACCCGCCCCTCCTTGGACAGTGGCCCTTCCCTGACCAGTGCCCTCCCGGAGAGCTCAACCCCAGGATGCGCATGTGGGAGAGCTAGTGAGGGCTGCCCCAGGCACAGGACCCTGAGCTGCCAGGTTCCTCCAAGGGAGGCAGGGGTGCACGGCCCGGTTGGGGAGAGGGAAAGACTAAGAGCGCATACTCACAGTCTCTCGGTGTTGCGGGGGATATTCCTGGGCACGCTGCGCAGCGCCAGCCCGTGACAGTCCACTGTGCTGCCCGAGCAGGAGCACTGCGCCGGGCACGCCTGCGGTGCCACTGTGTTCAGGATCGCCAGCACTAACCCCAGCGACAGGGACAGCATCTGCCAGCCAACGCCGCGCATCTTTCCCCGCCACCTCCTTCCTCGCCGTCACTGGGGGCTTTCTTTAGCTTTATGCTCCAAGGGAACCGCGCAGTGTCTGAGGCCCAGTGTCCGGCGGGGCTAACAACCCAGAGTGCCAGGGGATATGTGCACAAAATAATATGGAACAAGACAGTAGAGCCCACTCAGGCACACGCCTCCCACCTCCCTCTCCTCCCTCCTCTGGCAGAGCAGGAGCTCCTTGGGCAACTTTAGGTCCTGAGGATAAATCAGCCTGGCCAGGGCTGCAAGGAGACCCCAAGAGCAGCGGAGAGGAGATCACGCGTCTTCTGTCTCCCAAGGATGAACTTGGCGGTAAAAGAGCTGGGTCTTCAATGGCCTCGAAGATGCAGGAGCCGGTTGTGGGGGGGGGGGAGGGCCGTCCTCTGATCCCACGCACGCTTCTGCAAATCCGATGCCAGTGGCGAAGGTACGAGGCAGAAGAGGGGAGCTCAATAGGTATTATGGCCCCGATCAAAGTGTGTTCCCGAAGCTAGAAGTCGCGGGAGCCCAGCAGGCCCGTAGCAGAACGCGCGGGGCAACTGGGCATGGCGCGCGGGGGCGCACGGGGCAGACGCGCAGTTCTGGGGGTGCACGGCTCTGGACTCTGCTCACTCACGCGGCCTCTCCCCCGCCCTCGGCTCCGCCGCAGCCTGGACCGGTCCTCGCGGTCTCCCGATAGCCAAGGATGGTTTACAAACACACATGCACTTCGCTGAAAGATGTCTGGGCAATCCCGCCTCCCGCTCGGCGTCCTTGGCGACGCTCTGCACCAGGACCTGCCCCGAGGTCACGCAGAAAAGACAAAAGGGCAGTCGGGCCGCCGCAGCCGGGCAGAAATATCCACTAGTCAGCACCCCGACGAGGAACTCCAAGAGGCCAAGTGGAGGACGAGAGCTGCTGCGAAGACTGAGTGGGGACTGACTGGGGGCGGACTTAAAGCCAGGCAGACCGGAAGGAGTGGAAAGGCAAAGGCCAAGGTTGGAGGTGTCAGCGTCCTGCTGGGGCGTACTGGAGAATGGCTCGGTGGCAGGTGGGCGGGTGGGATCCGCTACTCCAGGCACAGCCAGGCGGCAGCTGAATGGCAGTCGTGTGTGTGCGCGCGTGTCAGCCCCGCTTGTCTCCCGGATACGCCGCAGCTCCGCGGCAGACACCTGATGGCAAAGGTGGAAGAAATAAGAGCCGGGTCCTGGAGGGCGCAGAGCCACGGCCGGCCCACGGCGGTCTCCCACTAGTGGTTCTTCCTTCTCAAAGTGCAGCAACTTTTCCCAGGCTTTGAATCCCGTCCCCCAAGGCCACAGTGGCTGTACCCCCGCCGGCGTCGCGACGCCGCCCGGCTCCAGGAGCTGCACCTGACGCGGCGGCCGCAGTCCCGGGTAGTCCTTCTCCTTCCAGCCCCTTCCCCTCTCCCGCTGCTTTCCTGGCCTCCCGCTCCAGGGAGCGAGGTGGGGGAGAGGGAGGGCGACGACTCAGAGCGGGGACTCGGTGGCTCTGCCGACTCCGGAGCCCCTGGCAAGTGTCTAAACAATAGGACGGACGCAGCAGCCCAAGTCTCGCTTGTCTGGAAGGAAGGTAGGTTGTTGTTGTAACTGGAGTTGTTCGCTGGGGCTGACTGGCGCTCAGCGCAGCCAAACAAAAACCCGGCCCGCGCCTCCAGAGCGGGCTGCGGGCCCCGGCGCTCTGCTCACTCACGCGGCCTCTCCCCCGCCCTCG